GTCGGAGAGTGGCGTGTAACCCAAGCGCGAAGAACAGAGAGCCACTTCACGAAATCGTAACCGAGTGCAACGATGCAGCCACGACGAAGTAATAGCACCGATCGTGCGAACAGAAAACTAGTGAAGATCGCGCCCGCTCGTTCAGATCGGAAGAAAAAGACCGCTCGGAAGAAAAGACAAATAAGCAGAGTGAGAAGAGAATCTTCGGTCTCACTTATATCTTTTTGCAGCTCTAGCTGGCAGATAATGATTGGCTGTAACTCGTTCACGCCGTGATCGCATGTTTGGGGTTTGCCCGGTATACACGGCTAACGCGGGAATAAACATTGTTTTGAGGAGCGTTCCTCGCCGGGGATCTCGTGGTCCAACGTTCAGCGACGAGATCTCCGCTAGCGCTGAGCACGCATCGATCACGCGTGAGCTTCGTGATATCGAAGCTAGAAGAATCTTTGGATTCTTCCAGAAAACTATCATGTACGCTATGACCCCGAACAACTATTATTTGTAAGAATGTTATGTCAACTATTTTATATAATTAATTTTTAGAGCAAATCAATATATTGTCATGTATTTTTAAAAAACAATGTGGATCGAAACTTTTGCACGCTACTGTAGATTATTTAAAAGATAAATTTAATTTAAATGATTGCTCCGAGGCTATGTTAAAGGAATTAAGTCGTTTAATACACTCATACGTGATATCAATTAGTCAGCGCTGGAAAAAATGTGCTCGTAACAAAAAAGTGTTTTTGAACAAAAATTCGACTTGGATTAATACCATTATTGTCATCCCGAACGTTGACCAAGTAAGCAAATTGATCGCAGAATGCAAGCAAATTGGCAGAAAAAATCGCACAGATCATGTAACTCAGTAAGATCTGTTCTGTTTTTGCCACCAATCTGCCGTCCTCTACAGGCTCTGCACGGTTTCTGCTACAAATCTCTTCGGATTGTTTGTCAGCAATCTCAGTCACATTTCTGGCGGCAGTTTAGCAACATAATTAGATAGAACAAATCTTATACCAGATTTGTTACTTTTTTACCATCAAAAATTTATAATAAACTCGAAATTTGTTTGCGTAGGTACAGAAAACTCCTAATGTAGAACGTTCAAAAAAAAGATTTGAAGATTTATCGTGCAAATCCAAAAGAAGAAAATTAAATCTATTGATCAAAGAAAAATCATTATCGGAACTTACTTTGCCACCAAATGTAAATTAATCGAAGCCGGAAAAGGAAATGCAGCCAATATATTAGAACATTTAGTAAATTCACCAAAACGAGTGGCACATATGAAGGAAGTTTATCAGTCAACAAATAAATGCTCAGAATATACTGCCGATGAAGTTCTAGCACTTATAATAGCTATCAAATTAACAAAAAATGGATACCAGATTTTTCGGTCTGCTGCGACACAAAAATATTTAAAGCTCTATCCTTCATATCATAAGGTATTGGCAGCAAAAAAATCTTGTTATCCACTTGAAGAAGATATGACGATATACCGAAGTTGGAACAAATATTAAATTGCAGTCTTTAGTAGATTAACTATCAAACGTCTGTGTATTATACAGCACGAAGTATTGAAGGAATTTTGTGGCTCTGATTGTTACAAACTTAATAATTTAAAAATTTTATTCAAATGGGGTAGCTACTGATGGTAGCGGTGGACAAATTCATATGTACTCGCTTCGTCTTTGGTGCCTATAATAATAAAAGGAACAGATGCAAACAATAAAGTTCATATTTTATGGAACAACCCAAAAACGTCCTCAACATCCTATTGTAGACCGATTAGATTTCGCTTTGTCAAAGAAACTGAAAAGGAAATTCTGAGTGAATTTAAATTTATTAAGGATCAAATTAAAACCCTCATAACAACACAGGTCCAAATTAATAATCAACTTATAGAGGTTTCTACACTTTTTGAAGAAACTATGATAGATGGAAAAGTGGCCAATGCCTTAGCTTCAAACAGATCCACTCAGAGATGCTACATATGTCATGCTACTGCTCATGATATGAATAATTTAACAGAAGTTAAGAAACGACCTATTAATGAAACAATTTCTTTCGGTTTATCTACTCTTCATGCTCAAATAAGGCTAATGGAATGTATACTTTATATTGCATATAGACTTTATTTTGAGAAATGGCACACTCATATAGAAGAGGAAAAAACAAAATTAAAAGTAAGAAAAAAATTCATTATTGACAAATTTAAGAGCGAAACAGGTTTTAACTGGTATAAATAAAGAATTAATAAGTTTTCAGTTATTCTAAGAACAATAACCTGCGATTATGAAATACAGTATGATAAATTTGAAGAATACTGCAATGAAACAGCTCAGTTGTATGTATCTCTCTATAAGTGGTATCCTATGCCAGTCACATTACACAAAATATTAATACATGGACCATCTGTTATAAGATCATTTTTGGTACCTGTAGGCTATCTATCAGAAGATGTCCAAGAGAGTAGACATAAAGAATTTCGCAAGATACGATTAGAATTTACAAGAAAAACGACCAGAAAAGACACAAATATTGATATTATTCACAATTTACTAATAACTTCCGATCCTGTAATTACAACACTTAAACCAAGAAAGGATTTAAATTTAAAAAAAGTTAGTCAAGACGTTTTAAATTTAATTAAGGCTCCTAATATAATAGAAGACATCTTTTGAGGAATATGGTGATTCTGATACTTTCGACTCTGATTAGCTATATATAAATGTAGAACGTAATAAATTGATTTTTGTGTGTTGATGTGTGTTGTCTGAATTTTTCAATGTTTCCTTTCGTTATACATTTGTTCGTTGAAAATATTATATAAAAATTGTTTGTAAAAAATATTATATATTGGGTGTACAAATTAGTTCGGTCCGTTTTCAAAAGATAACTTCGGCTGTTATGAATGGTTCATAATGATTGCCGATTTTGGCGGTTTCAGAAAGGTTAGACATCTGCCAATAATATTCAGTTTATATCGCTTTGAGTTTCATACAAAAACCTTGCTTTTTACAATGTTGAAAATGACGAATTTTGTGTTAACCAAGCAGCATTTGCGGAAGGTTTTAGTTTTCTGCTTTAATTGGAAGAAAAGTGCAGCTGAAGTCCATCGATTGCTTGTTGAAGTTTATGGTGACGCTGCTCCAACTAATAAATCATGTAGGGAATAGTTTCGACGTTTCAAAGACGGAGATTTCAGCGCCGAAGACAAGCCTCGCTCTGGACAGCCAAAAAATTCGAGGACAAAGAATTAGAGGCATTACTCGAAGATGATCAAAATCAAATGCAAGAGAAGCTTGCATAATCATTGGGAGTGACTCAACAAGCCGTTTCCGTACGATTGAGAGACATGGGAATTATTCAAAAACAAAGGAAATTGGGTGCCTTATGAACTGAAACAGAGAGACGTTGAAAGGCATTCTTCATGACAACGCTCGGCCTCATGTCGCAAAAGTCGTAAAAAAATATTTGGAAACGCTCAAATGGGATGTTTTACCGCACCCGCCGTATTCTTCGGACATTGCTCCTTCTGATTACTGGTTCCGAAGGATGCAGCACGATTTGGCAGGTCACCGGTTCACTTCTTTTGCAAATATCGAAAATTGGCTCCAAACTTGGATCGCCTCAAAAGACGAATCATTTTTTCGAGATGGAATTCGAAAATTGCCTGAGAAATGGGAGAAAGTAGTAGCCAGCGATGGAAAATAATTTAATTGATCTGTTCATTCATTTTGTTTTGAAATAAGTACATCTTTTAACACAAGAAAACGGGCCGAACTAATTTGTACTCCCAATAAATTATAAATATAACTTTTTCTTCCCTTAAACAATTTTATCCTGCTAGATTTGCGAATTGAACTACTGTGCGCCGCCGCGAGCGCCGGGAACTTCATTGTGTTCCTGTTGCTGTGCTTTCCAACAGCCTCGTGAGCATCTTCTACTCATCTGCACTTTTTTCAGTTAACATCTAACATCTAACAAATATGGGTAAATCTTCGCACAAGTCGAAGAAAGAGAAAGACCGCCTTCCAGAGATAGCCTCGTGAACATCGAAAATAAGCTGGCACGCTCAATCGATGCGCTGATGCAGAGAGAGGTCAGGGCATTTCGGATCCACTCCCCAACTTCGCCGCTAGTCACATACCCGAGTCGATAGGAAACTCATGACAAGCGCAGGGGGACCGTGCTGGCTGTAGAGGTCTGCCCAGAAAACGATCCTTTTTTTTCATAACGCAGGGGAAACCCATCATGGGTACCCCCCGCCCCCGGAGGGGCAGGGGGTAATGTGAGACTCCTATTCATTAAAATCCCTGCGGGACGTTTACCGATCGGGCCGAGATGGCGGGAGTCAGGGGAACAGCGCCTGCATTCCCTCCCCGACACCCCGGCTCCAGGGCTCATATTAAGAGCCCCACGCCCAATTACCGCGCTCCCTTTCTCCAAAGGAGGTCGGGGCGCGGTGCCCAAGTCGGATCTATCTGACCGGGTTGGCCTTCCGGCGGAGTTCGGGAGAGAGGGGACATGCCTACCCTTCCTTCCCCTCCCGAGTTTTACTACTCTAGGGGGGCGGAGGAGTGAGGCCCTTTCCCAGAGGGCTTTCACTCCCCCCTTTCCTTCTACTATTGACGCGCGGAGAGGCGGGAGGGCTCACACCCCTCCCGTCGCCCCCCCCCCCCACGCGTCCGAAGTCGGGCCCGAGGCGGCCGAAGAGGCTCCCGATCAATCGGGGGCGGCTCCTCGGCCGGCGCCACTTCGGACCCGCTACCTAATCCCGCGGAGCCCCGCCCCTTCCGCCATCTATTACGACGGGGGCCGGGGCGGCGCTCCCATTCGGCGGCCTCCTTCTGGGACATAACGTCTCTACAAAAGGATGCCGCTGCCCCCCACGCTTCCTCGCTCCCGCACATGACACGCACCATGCGCAGGAGCGAGAATGCCTCCACCTGGCACCCCACCGCCCGGGCTAGGACATGGCGTTGTTGACTTCATGCTTCGCATGCAGTCAGCGTATGGTGCGCCGAGTCCACAGGCCCCGGGCAGTGGTGGCACTCGGTGGTGGGTTCCTTCCCTATCCGGTGCAGGTTCTTTCCGAAGCAACCATGCCCGGTCAGCACCTGCACCAGGTGGAAGGAGAGTCCTCGCCCCCTCCTGTCTGCCATCTTCGGCAGGCAGGAGCGGACAGCCTCGGCCGTCTGGAGCCCAAATCCTCGTGGGTCAGCCAATTCGGCCGACCACTTGTCCAGGACCCGGGCTCTGGCCTGGATCTTCAAGGCCTTCAGGTCTCTGGCCGCTAATCCCTCTCCCTCTTCGCGAAGCTCCTTTATGCGCCAGTAGAGAAGATATCTCTCCTCAGCTAGGAGCTCCACTGTGGGAGAGCCGGCCAGGTGATCGCCGGCATGTACGAGACGGTGCTGTACCCTCTGATCGCCTACACCACCACCGGCCGCGTTGCCTGGCGCATCAGGCACTTGTTGCGGTCGGTGGCTAAAAGTCGGGGGGCCCATATAGGCGCTCCGTACAGGGCGATCGAGAGCACAACACCAACGTACAGGCGGCGAGCCCGCCAACCTGGGCCCCCCTGGGTCTGCATGAGGCCGGCCAGCGCCGTGCCTGCTTTGCGAACCCGGGGGGCCAGTTGCCTAAAGTGTGGCCCGAATCCCCATTGGCTGTCCAACGTCAAGCCCAGATATTTAATCGTGAGCTTGACATGGACGCGGACTCCATCCACCAGGACCCGGGCCCTACGTGGCCTCCCTTGACTCCGGCCATGAAACAACATGGCCTGGGTCTTCTGGGGGACCACTTTAACCCGAGGTCTCTGATGGTGCCAACCACCGAGTAGAGTATCACCTCCATCCGGAGGCGGGCTTCCCCCAGTTTTCTCCCTCGGCCAGCATCAACGTATCATCTGCATAGCAGATTACGTGGCTGCCGAAGGGAAGGGGAGAACGTAACACCCGATCGAACGCGATGTTCCAGAACAGGGGGCCGAGAACGGATCCCTGCGGAACACCGTGCTCCATTTTGCGCCGGCCCTGGACCCCACCTCTCCCATAGTAGGCGAGGTTCCTGTCCCTGAAATACGCCGACAGGATGCGCCGGAGATAGACGGGCATCCCGTGGTGCACGAGGGCCCGTCCAATCTCCGGTCAGGGTAGGGTGTTAAACGCATTTGTGATGTCTAACGACTCCGCGGGTAACACCCGGCCACCCTCTTCCACGGCGGTACGGGTCAGGTCGCGGAAATGCTGGATCGCATCCAGCGTCGACCGTCCGGGCCTGAACCCGTACTGATTGCCGTGGAGGTATGGCCCCTTCAGGGGCAGATGTTGGACGAGGCGGCCGGCAATGATGCGTTCAAGCATCTTGCCCGCCTCATCCAATAGGCATATAGGCCTGTAGGTCCGCGCCTCACCGAGCGTCTTGCTCTCCTTCGGGAGGAGGACCAATTTGGCCCTCTTCCACTTCTGGGAGCCCCCTCCCTGAGGCACCCCTCGAGTGCCTCCCGCGTGGCGGCGAATAGGTTTCCCTCCCCGAGGGAGAAAGCCCAGGCGCGGCCAGGAATTCCGTCGGGGCCAGGGGCCACGCCCTTGGCCCCAAGCTTTCTCCTGACCCTAGCGAACTCCTCTGGCGAGACCCCCAGGTCCTCGTCCCAGTCCCCGTCCTGTATTTCAGGTACGGGGATCTGGGGGGGCACCCCTCCGCCCTCGGAAAGAGGGTGTCGAAAAGCCCTTCGAGGTCCTGGGGTTCCATAGACTCCGTCGGCGGGGGCGCCCACGGGCGGATCTTCCCGATCGTCCGTTTATATGAGCGCTCCCACGGGTCATCATCCAGGGAGCTCATCAGTTGCTTCCAGGCTTTATTCTTAGCCTCGGTAATGGCGGCCTTGAGGGCTTCCCTCGCTAGGAGGTAGCCCTTTTTTTCCTTCGCGTCCACGCCTCACCGCCGGGCCTGGACGTACGCCCGTCTGGCTCGGATGGAGGCCTCTCGCAACTCAGCGATGGCCTCCGTCCACCAGTAGGCGGCCCGGTGCTGGCGGGGGTGGGACCGGGGCATCGTGGCCACGCCACGATACGCACCACCTCCTTAACCCCGTCCTGAGGGCTAAGGTCCCACTAACCTGGCCCCTCGAGATGCCAAGTGGCCACGAGGGTGGCCACCCGCTTGTCCGCATCCAGTTGACTGGAGACCCATCTTTTGGGGAGGGGAAGTTCGCCTCCCCGGGCGGCGGTCCAGCACCCGCTAGGGAGTAGGGAGACCGAGGGATAACACTATGTATCTATGATCCGACAGTGTTTCACCCTCAGCCTCCACAACCCACTCTCGAAAATTCGGGCGGCCGAAATGGAAGCCCACGTCAAGTCAATGACGGACTCCCACCCGGCCGCACTCAGGTGGTGGTCGACCTTTTATTCGTCAACAAGAGGCCGAGTCCCGCCATCCAGTCGACCAGGATCCCGCTCCAGGGATCCTCCTGCCGGGGACCGCAATTCCACTCCGTGGAGTGATCGTTGAAGTCCCCGGCGACCACGATGGACCAGGGGTGGCACTGCTATATCACATCTCCGACCCTGTCGAGGATCCCCTGGATGTGGGCGGGTTTCCAAAGACTGACCTTATTTCTGCATTGGGAGAGACATGCCCCTACCACAGTGACGGGTCCTCAATCAACTGCCATGAACGAGGCCCCCTGCCTTAAGCGTACAGGGAGGCCCCGTTGCGGGACTAGCCACCATGGCCACCGAGCTGCACCGGCTCCCGAACCAGCATGGACTACTTATCGGGATCCAATGCGGCTCGGTGCCCAACCCCAGCCCGGCGCCCAGCTCCCTGATCCTGTGTGTCCACAGGTCCTGGGCCCGGGCATCGCGGTCGAGGTTGGCCTGTAGGGACGTGAAGGCTGGGCCTTCTACGCCTCCTCCGGGCGGCCTACCTCTGCCTCCTCAAGAGGGGCCTCAGATGGCACTAATACCGCACCGATCCCTCCTGAGGAGGTTTTGGCCATGGTGGCCACGATCTCTGGTGTCTCCGCGGAGGCGCTGGGAGGCCCTATCTCAGCGATCTCCTCCTCTGGGCAGTATGAGGGGGTCTTTCATCGGGGGAGTCGGAGGTGGCGCGCCTTCCGACTCTCCATTTCCTTCTAGGGTTGTTAAGGGTGAGACTTTAGCCTCCAACCGCCTCACCTTCTCTGATGCTTCCTCTAATGGGGAAGAAGAGGACCTCTCGTCTTCCCTCGCTACCAGCGTAGTCCCTGACTTCACCTTCCTCTTCGGCCTCGTTGGCTTGGGCTCCTCCGGTTTGTTGAACCCGAGGTGCTATATGTGCTTTTGGCAGACGATCCTCCCCATCCTACCCTCCCTCCAGTTGGACCAGAGGTTCTACCCCGATGGATCGACGGATCGCCTGTGCCTCCTCACCACGACAAGGTGGCACCACTTCGAGGAGGGCACAAAAATCTTTTTCTTTCTTTTTTTGTTAATGATGGGGAAAATCTCTAACAGATACCCCCGCTCTTTTTCAGGGGAAGCGGGCGGTTATATGGGGGTTGCACCAACTAAAACCCCTCCGGAATGTCCTCACGAGGTTCTTTTGTGGAGCTGAAGGAACTGGCCCATCATTACTTCTCCAACCCCCCCACCTAACTAACTTGAAGGGCCCCATCCATGTATTAACTACTAAGAGGAAAGGGGACATTCACCCTTTCCTCCATCTCCACCAATCTGCAGGTTAGTGCAGGGGAGAACGGGACCCGTCCCTGTACCAGGCTACCCCGCTCTCCTTTACTGCGGGGGTCCCACTCCCATGGAGGGGACCTGTTCGGCATTACGGCCGCAGCCAGACCCGTTTCCCGCCACAGATCCTTAGACCTAGACAGGCAGGACCGGCTCCTATTTCACCCCTCAACGGCCGCCGCCAAATCCACCTTGTGGCCCTAAGGATAGTCGGATGGACCTCCCCCAGCACGGTGCTGCAGAGGTGCCAAGAGGGCCCTCGTCCGGGCGCACCACATAGGGGTAGGGGTATCCAGCTCCCGGGGTCTTGTTCCCGCTGTCGGAGTCCCATTCCCGTAACCTTGCCCAGCGAGATAATGCGCCGTGTCCTCCAGCACCGGGCAGTGGTGGCACCGAGTGGTGGGCTCCTTTTGTATCTAACGCAGGTATCGGCCAAAACACCCATGGCCCGTCAGTATCTGCAGCAAATGGAACGAAAGTCCACGTCCCCTCCTGTCTGCCATTACGGACAGACAGGGGCGGACGGCCTCGGCCGTTCGAAGCCAGGGTCCGCAGGGATCTGCCGAAATGGCATCCTACGGCTCCATGACCCGGGCTCTTGCCTGAGACTTCAGGGCCGCCAGACCCCTGGTCGGTTACCTCCTCCCCCTCCTTGTGGAGCTCCCGCACCCTCCAATAGAGGTTGCATCGCTCTTCGGCGAGGAGCTACACGGCGTAGCCGGCCAGGGTCGTCGCTGCCATGTATGAGACAGTGCGGTACCCCCGAATCGCCCTCACCACCACCGATCGAAGTGCCGACGCATCAGACGCTTATTCCGGCCGGTGGCCATGAACTAAGGCGCCCATATGGGTGTCCCATAGAGGGCGATCGAGAGCACCACGTTTACGTAAGGTGGCGAGCGTGCCACCCGGGATCCTCTTGGCATGAGCCCGGATAGAGCCAGGCCAGCTTTGCGAACCCGGGGGGCCAACCAGCGAAAATGCGGTCCAAAGTCCCACCGGCCGTCCAGCATTAGGCCCAGATATTTTATCGTGGGTCCGATGCGGATGCGGACTCCGTTCACAAGGACCCGGGACTCTGGTGGCGCCCCACAGCTGCCGTCATGAAAGAAAACAGCCTTCGTTTTTTGGGGCACTACCTTTAGCCCCAGGTCTTTGATGGCACCCATCACCGGTGCCAGCTTCCGCATGGAGGCGAGCATCTCTCAGTCCTCTCCCCCGGCTTCCATTAGAGAGTCATCTGTGTAGCAGAAAACGTGGCAGCTAGGACGAAGTGCTGAGCGAAGCACCCGGTCGAAGGTGATGTCCGATAGGAGGGGGCCGAGCACCGACCCCTGTGGGACACCACACTCCAGCCTTGGACCCCGCCTCTCATCGAGTAGGCGAGGTCCCTGTCCCTGAAGTAGGCCGCGAGGTTGCGCCGCAGGTAGACGGGTACTCCGTGGTATTCGAGGGTTCGTCCAACCTCCAGCCAGGGCAGGGTGTTGAAGGCATTTGTCATATCCAAAGATACCGCTAATAACACCTCACCCTCCTCCTTCACGACTGTACGGGTCAAGTCCCGGACGTACTGGATAACGTCCAGCGTCGATCGTCCGGGCCTGAATCCGTACTGCCGGTCGTGGAGATTCGGCCCCTCCAGGAATAGATGCTGGCCGAGGCGATCAGCAATGATGTGATCGAGCATTTTGCTCGCCTCGTCCAGCAGGTAGATTGGCCTGTAGGTCGACGGACTGCCAGGCGCTTTACCCTCCTTCAGGAGGACTCTCTCC